AATAATTATATTTTCTCAAAGATAATTTAAATAAATGATAAAAAAAACAATATTATTCTCAGATTTATTTAATATAATATAAAAAAAGTAAAATGATTTCGAAATAAATAACTTACTTTTATTTCAAATAAAATTAATTTCATTTATAATTATATATTTATCCTTAAAGAATTTATTTAAGATAATATTAAATGAGAATTATTTCATTTGTCTTAGTTTATTTATTTATTTATTTATATTGAATTGTTTTATTTAAATAAACATAGATTAACAATAATAACAACTAGAAATTAAAATAAAAAAAATTATCTATTTATCATTATTTAGTTCAAACAATTATTTATCTATACCATTAAATATATTTATATTAACTATTTTAACAAAAATACCATTAACAAATAATAAATTTAAATTCAATTAATAAAATATATCCAAATAAAATTCGATTATTTATTCGATAAATAATATCCTCTATAATAAACAAATAATAAATAATAACAATTCGAGATCCAAGAGAAAATATTATCTTATTATAGGATCCTTCTCAGACTCTTTATCAGTCAGACTTTATTAATAGATAATGCACCTTTTTTTTTATCATTTCCCATCAACAGATTCTATCTTCTATTACAACCATTAAAAAAATTCAAATTTGATTTATAATCAAATGAGAGACTTTCTCTTATGAGCAAGTTTATCTAAACATCTATTTAAGAGGAAAATTGTTTAGCTTGTGCTCTCATCTATAAATATAGGTAAACTAGTTACTCTCGGAATGGCATCAATATATTTAAATCAGTAATCAACATGTTAGAATTATATTTTCTTTTTTATTCTTAAATATATTATGAAAATATATTCGGAATTTATTGTTCTTGATTGAAAATTTCCAATAGAGATCGCTAGTGATAAGTTGATTTAATAATAAAATGAAGATTATTTAAAAATGAATATTTATTTCTATAATATAGATCTATTTCGATTGTTTTCAATAAATAAATATTTGTTAGTTATTAGAAGATAATAATTAAAATAATTATTTATTTAAAGTTAGATATATAATATATAATTCAATCGAATAAAATATTATTTTAAATGATTTATTTCATAGTTAAAGATGATTATTTCCTATCATTATCTTCAATATCAATATAATTTCATTAATAAAAACATTTTTTTTCAAAGATATTTTCATATAAAAAAAAGCAGAGAAGTCATTTTTTCATAAATTCTCAACATTTTTCTGAATAAAATAAATTATTTCTAAACAAATAAATCAAAATAGAAGAGTTATATTGCATTATTGAAAAAAAAATCAATTTATTTAAAATATTTTTCTTTTTCATAATAAAATAGTATTAAAAATTGTCGATATATATAATAATTAATAATTAATAATTATCATTTATTTCCAAGAAAATCAGTGAAAAAATAATAATTTAGAGGAATGATTATTCTTGAATAAAAATAATCGAATTATATATAATAAATATTATTTTCATATTTACTCGATTTTATCATATAACCTTAATTAACAAATATTGATCGATTTATTTTAAATAAATTCTTTATTATTTTATGGATTTATCTAAACGAACAACAATAATAATTAATAAGATTAGTTTTTG